TTTCACTAAATTTTCCGCCTGTAAATTCTGTGCCGTTATCCGCTCTAATGTACTAAACATGCTCTCAAATCTCTGCCTACTAAGTTTCTCATGGTTTTTAAATAGTCTTCTAAACAATCACCGGAATCAGATTTATGTCTAATAGCATATGCTTTAGCAAATTTAGTGCAATCATCTATAAAGGTTATAATATATTTCTTGTTTCCGGGACAGGAAGTGGGTTTGAATGGACCCATTATATCTGTGTGTGTGAGCTTCAATGGTTTGTCAGCTCTAGTTCTTACTTCTAAGAAAGGTTGTTTGGACATTTTTGCCATAATGCAAACTTCGCAATTCATTATGTTTTTGTCAAATTTAACCTTTTCGAGATTTTTATCTATCTTTTGCAATTTTTCAAGATAACTAAGTGAAGGGTGACCTAATCTAATATGCCATAGCATACCTTCGTCTAAATCTTTTGTATATAATTTCTCTAACTCAAAAGATGCAAATAAATCGTCTACCTCTATATTCTCTTTGTAATTTTCTAAATCAATTACGTCAAAATTTGTAAACTTACTATATTGACTCAGTTTTGGGGTTAAGTTATCTAGAGTCGGCTCCCTCCCAATCTCAGCATCTGAATTTTCATTGTCTCTAATTTCCTCTAATTGCTGAGGTTGTGAAGTCGCCTCGTCCAGAGTAACCATTCTCGCATTACAAGAATATGTTTGATATCCTGACTCTTTTCTATTTTCATTTGAGTCTTTAACCTCCAATTGAATTAACCAGATTGGTTTTTGGTAAGATCCTGTAATATAGGTAAACCCTGAATCTTTGTCAAAAATCTCTAACTTGGAGTCATCTAAATATATAGCTAAGCCTGCATCGGCAAAGCGTCTAAGGGATATTAAATTCTCTGAAATGTTTGGGGCTACTAAAACATTTGTCAATTTGATATGGCAACCTTCCTTGTCTAATTTATTTATGTATAAATCTCCTTTTCCATCTATCTCTATGTCGGCTGATTTACTTTTATTTGCGCTTTTTATAAAGCCTCCAGAACATTTTCTAAAATTTTGTAGGATAAGTCCTTTATTTACAATGTGCTCAGTAGCACCTGAATCAGCCAAGAAGGTTACCTTATCATTGGTTATATCTGTAATATTATTACCTTGAAGTGCTGCTTGTGCTGCCTTCGCTAATTTTTGTTGGCCACTGGAGCCTTGGGGAACATACGGACGTATTCCTCCTCTTTTGAAAGAATTTATCCTACCTCTAAAATTTCCTCTAGCTCTATTACCTCTATTTCCTCTATTTCCCCTATTACCTCTACCTCTAAAGTTGCTGCCACTTCCCCTCGAGCCTCTTATATTAACATTATTATAATTTCCTCTATCATACCTTCTATCTGCCTTGCGCCTCTGATGCTTTTGGTGCTCTGCCTCACTATAACGGGGGCACTCGTCACTTTTGTGCAAGGCCACCTGCTTGCATGCGAAGCAGTACCAGGCATTGTATTCGATCAGGGGGCAGGCAGCAGCTGTGTCCCGCTTTATTGCAGCGGCGACACACATCTGCTACAGGAGTGGTGTGGCTCCCCTGACCAGCAACATTGGCTGCAGCAATAGCGTTCGCACCTCTAGCCCTCTCATTGGCATTCCTTCTATCAGCCTCTAACTGTAGAACAAAGTTCCTCATTTCATCTAAAGTCATACCGGAGGGACTTGTTTTCTTTGTTAAGATTTCTATTTCTCTAATGCGGGGATATGCATCTTTGACTGCATTCCTAAATGCAGATTTCTTTTCAGTCTCGGATAAGGGAATAGCCGTATCAACCAATTCGTAGTCTCTAATAATTGAATCAAACTTCTCTAGAAAAACACTAACTTTGTCTCTAATATTTAACCTTAGGTTGTACAGCTCCTCCCTTACTCTAGAATCATCAGTGTTCGACTCTATTCTTCTTTGCTGTTTGATTTGGCTTAGGATCTCTACCGGATTAACAATATTCAGGACAATCTTGTGATAATTTTCATCTAAATGACTAATTATTATGTCTCTAACTACATTACTTCTTTTGGTTTGTTCATCTATGCTATAAGTTCTTTTTGGTACTGATTTTGAATCTATAACATCTAATAGTTCTTTTGCTAGTAATTCTGAGTTTAATTTATCTAACCAAACATTTATATTTGTTTTACTTGTAAGTGTATAATCTCTTTTAAAAGTAGTTTTTGAATTTATACTATTTGATTCTAAAGTTTTGGTAAAAGCATTAACAGTTTGAGACAGTTCATGAGCAAGACTGTTCTGAGTATTATCCGGAAGAGAACTATTAAGCACTGATGAATCAAGTAACTCTATGTTATTATTGGCTTGAGCGTTGCTTGGAACGCTCTCTGGTGGGGAGGCTTCTACATTTTGATTATTTTGCCGGTCATTTTCAATTCTAGAATCTACTCTATTATTTACATTTGAAGTCAGATCTAAGGGCTGATTTATTCTACTTCTAGTCGGCTGAGGCGTGGAGGCAACTAGTGTGGGGTTATTATTATTAGCAATTTCAATTTGATTATTGCTACTTCCTCTAATTACCTCTAGTCGTCTAACTTCTAATCGCTGGATCTCCACCTGCCTGTCTAATATGTCCCTTGCTATTGTGAGGACATTCGTGATGGAGGGCCAGACTTCCCTTTGCAAGAAGCACATCCTCTCCATTTGGGCCATGGAGAACCTCGCCGAGAGCCCTGCCACTTCATTTGCAGACGGCAGGGCTCTAGGGGGCCTCTTGATGGTGTCAGTGTTAGTCTGGCCGTGGAGAGCGTAGCTGACTGCGGCACTGGCTCCTGCCTCACAGACACTCACCACTTGACCCGTGATAGACTGGGTCGGAGTGGTGTTGTCTCCGGTGGTGAGCGCCGTCGAGGTGGTGCCCGAAGTGGGGGTAGCTGCAGAGGTTTGGACATGGATATTTTCTTGACTGGATGCTAAAACAGTATTCTAGTGTAAATGCTTGGTTTTTACTTCTAAATTCTATTTCATCTATAGTTCATGGATCCACTCTCTAATTAACATCTACACTGTTTTAGCGCTCTAGTCTCACTTCTAATTAATATTATATTGAGCGATTATTCAACTTTCTATTAAGCTGTACCTGCGGGAGGTGTCTCTCCTGAACAGTCAGGTACACTGTTGGCTGCAGAAGCATTTGCAGTCCCAGTTGGGGTGAGAACCCAATCGCCTTCCTCTTGCTGCTCCCGATTCTCGCCGGCTTTCTCGTTGTCTGACATCTAAAAATTACCAGGCATTTGCTTCTAATTCGAAAATAGCCATATGATTTCATTCTGAATCTGCCAGGTACATCCAACAGAAACAGTCCGAAATCTGCATTGACTGTTCACACCAACCGACACTGCTCACGTGCTCCCTCCCTTTCCGACTGACTACACTGAGCGCAGAGTACTCAAAAGGGGCGATCGCACACGCTAACAATGCCAATTTAATGATTCCAGTCAACACGAAAGTCATATGAAGTGTTGACCATACATAGCGCAACATCTTCGACTTTCCGAGAATTTTACCTTTCATTCAAACTACAATCTTCTAGAATCTAATCTTCAAGCTTTTATATATTTGTACATACTTCAGTAATAATTTAATTTAAATAGTTTTAGTGTACACGTGCACATATATGTATATAAATCATGGTATGTCTATGCATGCATTCATTTACGATACGTATCTATTATTTGAATCATTCAGTTATTCAATTTTATTTATTTAATCTAGTTCTTTTCCTTTCTATTCTATATTCTAATTACTTGCGTCTAAATTCTATTTACATTCTTTTTATTTAAGTTCTATTGTACTCGTAGCGCTCGCATCCATGCGTTAAGTCGATGCGTCTCTCTTTAACCAGCGCGCGTTGTCTCCTTCTCTTAGGCGCGCACGCTCTACTCTCTCTCTCTCTCTCTCTCTCTCTCTATCTATGTGTCAGTGCGAGCGATCTCACCGCGAGGCATGGTCCGCGCTCTCTTTTCTCTCTCTCTCTCTAACTCGCGCACTCTCTATCTCTCTCCTTCTTTCGCGCTTAGACCGACGCCTCCGGTCAAACATGGCGGCGTTTCGGCGCCGACTCTCCTTTGTGCGAGTCAGCATTTACAGTTATATCAACATTTTCAAGATCACTATTTGTCTCAACTTCTTCTGGAAAATCAGACATGTTTCTTTCTCAATATATGCAATGTGTTGGAAAAGGATGGGCAGCAGAGCAGGTGAAATCGCTTGAGCTGGGCGTTGAGTTTTAGAGAACTTTATTATCGAGAGCGGAGCAGGCACGTCTGTGCAGGACGGAGGTGCAGCTCGGAATGCCGTGCAGCGGCGAGAGCACAATAGGCGCGCGTGTGGCGCATGCGCCAGATATACATATATCACAGGCACAGAAGCCTTCATCTCAACACAATGCAATGAGAAATAAGTTTTTTACATCGAAAATACGTAGACTCAACAACAATTAAGAAGCTAAATCTATTAAAAAACAACGAGGTGGGCGAAGGTTGTTATTGTGTATTCGTATGACATAACCTCGAAGTTCGAGGATCGAACGAGAACGTTGGCAGCTATGGCGTCTGCGACGCGAAATAAATCTTGTGTTCTGCTAATTTTGAAAATAATTGTTGTTCTTTTTTCGCGATTTATTTACATTATTTAAGGGGATACTAATAGTATATAATAAATAGTGAGAAGTTATTTGAATGCTTTAAAAACTGTACTTTATTACGTATTACATTAATTTATCAACAATAGTATATAATACAAAAACATGATATTCAAACGCAAAGAAATATAATAACTCATTAAATAATAAAGAAAGCGTATATTTTTTAAATAATACTCTTACACGCAATGAACTTTCTCAAAATAACTATCTACTTATTTCGAGATTAAAAAAAAGTATAATAAATAAAAAGCACTTGTAATTAAATTTTGTAACACCGACTATTACAAGCTCTTACAAGCTAATCTTCTTGATTTCTACCGCGATTAACGTAATCAAGTTGCCATGGAACCTGACCTTCTTGACTCATGAAATATCTAGTTAAGTCATGACGAAGCTGAACAGCTGCCGGTGCAACATTTGGTTCATGTTCGACAACAACTTGGCGTCCTTGCTGAGCATCATCACAAGTTCTTTCTTGTGCTTGTGTTCTAGACATTACAAAATTGTGTAAACATACACAGGCTAGAACAATATTGTCTACGGCGTTTGGATGGATTGCTATTCGCCCTTTTAACACTTGCCACCGCCTAACTAAAATTCCAAAAGCACATTCAATGCAGTTCCTTGCTCTAGAAATTCTGTAATTAAATATTTGTTGTTCTTGAGTCAGATTTCTGTCAGAATACGGCTTCATAAAATCAGTTCTCAAAGCGAACGCATCGTCGCCGATAAAATAATATGGTGCTTTAATATTTGATCCTGGCAAATTCGTGTAATTCCGTGGAATCGGCAAAGTTTCGGCTATTAGGTGTCTGCCGAAAGCACTCCTCGAAAAAACCCCACCGTCGCTTTCTCCGCCAAAAGATCCTATATTTGCCCTGGTAAATTCGTACCTGTGATTACATGCTGCCATCATAACAATACTATAAGTTTTTTTATAATTATAAAAGAGAGAGCCGGAATGAGGAGGAGCTTCTATGTGAATGTGCTTGCAGTCGACGGCACCTAAACAATGAGGTAGATTCCATCTCTGATGATAACCTTTACTAATATTATGCCATATAGGTTCCGTAGGAAACCTTAAATATCTGGGACATAAAACTCTAGAGATTGCGGCACAAGTATGTTTAATTATTCTAGACAGTGTTGATTCGCCAACTTTGTAGACTTGAGCAATTGAGCTTATTTGATCGCCGGTCGCTAAGTACCTACAGTTTTTCATTCTCTTGTTATTAAAAATTTTAATTTCCAAGTTAAATTTTCAAAATAATGTTATATTCATTACCTTATTGTTATAGCTAGACGTTGCTCAGCACAAATATCGGTGGGTCTACTAGTTTGCGGAGTAATTTCAGGCTCGAGTAAATCCAACAAATACTCAAACGAGCTTAAGTACATTCTTGTGTATCTTTTAAATCTGGCTGGATATTCCTTCATTTCATGAAACTCATTAACAAAGAAACCGTCACCATAAAATCTTCCCTGATTCAATGGGTGCATCTAAAACCGCCTGTTTCTCCACCGCTTTGATCGTTCGTAATCGAAAATAGCAATAACTTCTTCCATAGAATCATCCAATTCCATCATACATCTTCGCAATTCATCTTCTAAGTCAAGCTCCATTGTTGCACTAGAAATCAAACAGTACTTTGTAAAATATAGATCAATGCCGATAACATCACACCTTTTTTTCGGAACCATATAATCCTCATTCATCTTTGTATGTGATTCTGTATCAAAGGAGCTCGATTAAAAAAACTCATAATAATTTGTTTCTACTCATTTGGAATAAAAAAACTGATTAATGTATCCTAACAAAACAATTAGAAGTGCTTCTCGATTAATTTGTAGCGGAAAAAATGAAAACTTTACAATTTATAATAATACTCATAACTTTGATCGACAGTTACAGTTCAATGTCATAAAATGATATAAAAAAATTATTGAATTCTAATTTCAAATGTCTGGAAAAACGTTGCAAAAGATTGATCGCAGAGCTCACGTTTTAAAAAACATTGTAATAATAGTATTTGATAAAGATATAATCTGTGTTGAACGATATGTGCAAATATTTATTATTCCAACAATTGTAATAATGAACCTTACTCTGTGAAATTATTCAATTGTAGCAAAACGAAATGTATGAAATGTATACAGCTTCGGAGAATTGAATAATCGATGAGTGTAGTACGTGATTTAAAATTGTTTATACTTACCGAGAGTATACTTTGCCAAGTCGATGCAACGAGTGTGTATAATATATGAGCTCGAAGACAAGCGCGAGAAACACTGGGCGAATAACGAAAAGATTGTGATCCGGACGGATGAAATGCAGCAGAAAATTTTAAAAGCGGCCGAAGCAAGCAGTAAAAGCGCGTGGCTATATACTACCAGCTACTACCAGCAACTGCGGGCCGAACTATGAATCGTGCTTATTTTTCAAAAGCGAAAATTTTATGATCTCTCGACCCCGGGGATGAGTGCACACGCGTAGGAGAAAGTGACCGATATGCAATGGAAGAGAGAGGGAGAAAGAGAGAGAATGAGATGCAAGTAGCCTGCATAGTCGAAGGGTTGGTCTACCTACCATCAGTAGGCCCAACACATTGGCATTTTTTTTGCGGTTTCCCGGGAGAGCCGCTGTTCTGACGCGCGCACGAGCGGAGGAGATGAAAAAAAAAGCCAAGGTCGGAAGGATCGAGGAGAGGCATGCAACTAGCCAGGCCACTCGATCTTTGGTTTGTTTTGACCTGCGGGAGCCAGTTTTACTACCGTTAAATCGGCACCTCATCCCGACTCGGCAGGGAACTAATCATCGACTAATTTCTTTTCACAGTCTTTCGTGCGCCTTTCATTATTCCACATGCAGATTATGTTTATTTGAATTAGAAGCGCGCGCGCGCCGGCAAGCTTTCGCAGTCATGATTATCAAAATAATCTGGCAGATCGAAAAGCCAACCAATAATGCCCGAAAGGAATCTCCTTGTGATGAGTCACAAATGCGATAATAATAAATTATGGATAGGATCGACAATGTATTTCAGATTTTCTTCCGAGTTTGTAGATAGTACACGCGCAAAAAAAAAAAAAGAAGAAAAGAAAAAAAGAGAAAGCGTGCGAGCCCACGAGAAGAATAGAAAAAGAAAAAAAAAAGAGTTTCAAGTCGCAACTACCTACAAGAACTGCAAACACAACACATGTCAAATGTATGTTTCTTCTCCTCATTTTTTTTTCTTGCTGCGCTTTTCCTTGTACGATGGCCATTGAAGATACGAGCGCCCGAGAGGGGCAGTAGGTAGCTCTAGCGATCATAAAAACAAAGAGTGTAAAAAGAGAGAGGGAGCGAAGGGGAGCGATGCACACTGGTAAGGTAATTCAACGCAGGATGCACCCACGTGTTGGATTGCTTGGACGATTTTGACAGGCGCGCGCCCGTGGCTCAGTTTGTTGGCTCATTCAGCTTATGAGAGTGGGCTAGTAAACAGCTCAACGCAGACGCTCCAGTGCCTCGAGTTTTCTTTTGGCTGCTCTTCGCCTCGTATAATCGTTTATTGCTCGTGTTTATATTTGAGTGTGTAAAAAATGGTGCGATTGCTAACGTTAAGGGAAAAAAGAGTGCTAAAGGAGGTGAACGAGCAAACGAAATTGTGGGACCTATACAGCAGAAAGTCATGGAGTCGAAGTGCAAAAAGCAAAGCCTTCCGGCTGATTGCCAGAAAAATCCGGCTGATCGAGCGCCGCGAACGCCAGCGTGGAATGAACAATGCTCTAGCTGAACAACGTAAGTTTTACCTCATATAGTTTCGAAATTAATTAAACGAGTCATTACCGTAACCTGCAGGCTCTTAGCTCCTTCATATTTTTCGCAAATCTGGTACATGAAAATCGAACGAATTTCGCCAATTTTTTAGCTATAGTCTTGTCTATATAGTCCAAACAATACGCAGAAAAAAATTCGATTGATCCTTTTTTTTCGTCTTTTGTCAACATTATAATATTGCCGCGGTAATTGCGTCGCGGTCTTAATCTCAAATTGTATTTGACAGTGAATGGCCAGATGGTGAAGAAAATCTGGGATCGTCTTCGAGCCCAGTACCGTAGGATCCAGAATAATATTCACGAGGGTCACTGGACCGCCGCTACACTGAGCCTCCGTAACCGCGCTATTTTGAAGGCTCTGCTTTTCATGCGCAAATTAATTCGCAACGAGAAATGTCGACAGAATTACCGCTGAGGGTAAGTAATTGTCATGAATATCGAGGCGCATAATACGCAGTAGAAGCTCATGTTTTTTTTCCTTTTTGGTTTTCAGGATTGCTACCAATGTTCGGGATGCTGTTACCTATTAGCTTTTATTTTTTCGTCCTTTTTATATTCGTTTTTTTATTTTTCTGATCGAAAGAAATTCTCTGATATATTTCTTTTTGCTTTATTTTCCAAAAATGAAAACACAGTTTGTCTCTTTCCTATACAATAGTAGAAACTTTTCGCAAACAAGAGATATATTTTTTATTTTTTATACTTTGTGCAACAGTTGTTATAGTAGATTTCTCGTCGTATATATTCTAAAACTAAATGTTTTGCAATGTTATGGGAAATGTTAGGATAAATAAAGTTTAAAATTTTTAATAGAACAAAAATTGTGTGGATTCAATTATTTATCATCATTTCATTCGAATTCAAATATTAAACTTGCGACTGCTGCTACCGCTTCTCGTCATTTGAGGTCGCTACAAGGTAGTGTAGCTGAAAATTCTGAATTACCGGCAAGCGTCGAGTCGAGCGTGTTTGCAGGTTATACACAACAAAACATTTTGACAACTGAATGCAGATTTTCGATTAAAACATTGTTTAATACGAATGTTGATTGAAGCTGTACTGAGCGTAAAATGCAGGTAATACTCCATTTATTTTCCATGTCTACCTTACTTCTCAATTAGTTTTGTTTTTTCATTTCATAGTCAATTAATAGTCTTGCCTGGAATTTTCCAAGATTATTTTATAATTATGTAGATTAATGTGTTTGTATAATTGATGCCTACTAATATTCAATTATATTTTTAGCTCTCAACTGATGGAGGTGTAGTACACTTGCCAAGTATCAAAAGTAGGCAAGAGGTATGGGATAGAGGAAGAGCCAACCGATCCTTATGAGCAGCAATTGCTCGCAGTACTCAAAAGTTTCCTAGCAGATGAGCAAAGCCTACTGAATGAAGATGACCTGCTCGAACTCTGTAAAAAACTCAAAATGGAGGTCATAACAAGTTCCTTCAATTACTGGGTCAATCTCAAGAGAGGCCAATCAATTGTACTGAGCTGGATGGCAATGATCAACTATTGATTTTGTCTGCAGGCAAGATCAATAAGAAACAAATTGGGGCTATGAAGCGCAAAGGATGAGCAAAGTGGTGAGTAAAAAATTTATCTCCAGTTGTACGAAAAGAGAAACTTTTCTATGAAGGTACTCATAACTAAATTTTATTTCATCAAGTGACACGTTTGACCATGAGAGATGGTAAGCAACATGGAGCAATCAAAATTCGCTAATGTGTGAGGATGTCAATAGTTTTTGTAACAGAGGAGCTGCTCTTCTTAAGCAAGTGAGTTTGTCCCATTTGTATAATGTTGATGGTTGTTGTTGCACGATCAACTAATCTGTCTGTTTATATATACTTTCAGGCAATCAAGCTTCAAGAACAGTCAAATACCAAATAGTGTACTCATCCAGCGAGAGAAAATATAAAGTCAAACTGTAATAAGGATTTTGTACATCACCAAGATGGGTAAGACAGTCAAACATTTAAATTTTCACGTCAAGAGATACTAATGGTAATTTAATGTTGCAGACAAGTCTTTAGAAATGTGATTGTTGAGTTATGGGAAGTGACCGGTGTATGTAAAGCTAATTCACTGCTAAACACACTTGAGTAGATCAATCTGGCTTTCAGTACAGATATGGTGACTAATGATCCAAAATTCCATGTCTTACACTCGGAGCACATCAAATGAAAAGATATGTAGAAAGATATATAACTTTCATTAATTCCAGTTGAACAATTTTAACATACCCATTTCATGATATTTCCAGATACTTGGACACAGATTTTAGTGGCCTTGTTTGTAGGCAACAACCGTTTCAGTATCCAGCATTGATAACGAGTAAAGATGATGATGGACCCAGTTCTTACGACGCTGTCTATCTGCTGCCAATTTTTTTTGTCTAGCCAGTAATCTTTATAGAAAAGTGTAGACTTGAAGAAGGAGCATACATCACTTATTGTTTCACGTCAACTTTACAAGTCAAAATTGTGATTTCACTTTTTTTTTCTTTTGCATGAAAACGTTTATTACCCACACTAGAATATATTTGATTTCTTTCTGAGTCTTAAACTGAAAACCCAAGCCAAGGCAAACCATTAAAAAATGACGTTTTTTTGTTTTTTAATTGGAATTTACAAAATTTTTCTTACAAATTATAATATTAAATGAAATGTAAATACATATAATCAAGGAATGGTAAGTGTTTGACACAATTTTTTTTCATTTCTGAAAAAAATTTTGTCCATCTTTGACAAATCCTCATTTATATATTTTTAATTTCATACATAATGTACATATATATT